ACTGGTGACTGAATCACCTGCTCAACTCTATTTAACCTGTTTGTTGAAATGAGGGATTGTCTTAAGTGTTTTCTGGCCCTGAACATGTCAGTGAAACATGGCCATCCTTTCCTGTTACTGGCAAAAGCTTTAAAATTCAGGACACAATGAAAAAGAAGAGTGATGTGTGGGGTTTGGGAGGGGATGTTGGTTTTGGTTTGTTTTGATGCTTTTTTCTTCTTTTCAAAGATTTGATTTATATTTTAAAATATAAGTTGTTTAGAATGTCCTGAAAGCTCCATTTAATTAGGATGAAATATACCCCTTAATACTCACTAAGCTTACTAAACTAGTAATTTGTAAAAAGCTCTTTAAAGTGGTAGTTTTGTTAATTAAATTATTCTCTTTCTTTCTCTCCCCACCTGTGTTTAGGCTCGCTGCCGTGCTTCTCAGGTCTTAACATCAGAGAAGATACCTTAAAGGATACCTTTATTGCCTGTTTCTGGAATTTGCTGGATGCAAAACATCAAACCTCTGGACTGTGACTCTAACTCAACAATTTGTCGACTGAAATTATGTCTCCATGAATGTTTGGGAGCTCTGGAGAAGCACAACACTGGAGTAAACCTGAAGTTTGGATGTTCAGTCAAAACTCTGCCATCCTGATCTAATTGTTAACTCTGAAGTATTACAGTCCTGGTCTTACTAGAAAATGTATTAAGTTTCTTGGTTGCTTAAATTACCAAGGAACACCTAATGTCTTGTAGCAAACTGTGCACCATGGTTAATAAGCAGTGGATAAAGATACTATGGAAGCACTTTTTTGGAGCTCGTGGTCATGGTTTACTCTGTAAGTACATTCATGTTGGCTCTCTCTCTGGTCAATCCTGTATTTCTTCACAGTACAGTCTGTTCCACCAGGGGTTTGTTTACTACTGAACTTCTTTTCAGTTAGCTGGTTTCTTTAGATGTGTCACTTGTAAACATGAACATGTGCTTAGGAGGTGGATCAGTGTTGGCATCAGCTGCAAGATCTACTATAGTGCTGTCCAGAGTAGAGTTTGTGTGCTTCAGATGCTGCACAAGACAATCCTTTGGGGTATGGGAAGAAAATATCCTTTTGTACCATTAATAAATAAATATATTCTTTAAAAGTGTTTATTACATCTTCATGTTTTTTTTTATTTCTATTTTTGTGTATGTTTTATAATGTATATCCCCTAGTTCCCAAAGGCACCTCATAGGAGATTTGAACTGCCTGGTGACTAGGAGTCTGTTGTGTAGGATTGATGCCATTTAAGGGACTAGAGCTGTCTACTGAAACAAACTATCTTGGGTGTTTGAGGCACATTACTATATCTAGGATGTGTTGCTTTGGTTGAATGTAAGAGCCTTGCCCCTCCAGGAGGGCAGCTGCAGGCTGGGAGGGATGCTTGGCTGTGTTGCAGATAGGACGGGATGTCTTTGCTTAAGCCATTGCCATAGCATCCAATTACTGTAACAAAATCTTGGGTACATCCCTTTCACTCAGACTTGTATGTTGACATCTAGATCTAGGTGTAAGAACCTTACCACTACCCTGTTTCTCTCGTGTTTAATGTGCTCTGGCAATAAGAACTAGTCAGTTTTGGAAGTGAAGCACATGAACATGTAATGATTCTGCAACATATATGTTCCAGGGATTGAGTTAAGTCTCTGATATATCTCTAGCATTTTTCCCCTCCAATAGTCTTCTACCCCTTTAAAGCACTGGTGCTGCTGGGAGAGCAGATGAGGAGAGAACCTTTTGTTCCAACCTTTATTGCAGGCACAACTGCACTTCCCTGGTGAGAAAGGTAAGTTTTGGACCCTGACCCCTGCTTCCTGCTATGATGTCTACATGATCAAACTATGGTGGCTGCTTTTGATTGAATGAATCAATGCCCTAACAACCAGCCATAGCAGGATACAGCTTCTATTAAAAAAACAGAACAAAACAAACAAAACCAACTCCAAATAATTGTTTTGATTTGACCAGGAGCATGTAACTTTGGCTTTCCCATAAATTGTTTTGGAAATGTGAAATAATCTTGCAGTTCACAAAATGGTTTGTTTGTTTGCTTGTTTCTTTAACAGGTCTCAGGGGCCCAGCTCTTTCTTCTCATTTTCAATCTACCTATTTTAGCCTTCTGCCACATTCTATCTGCCTTTTCCTTTTCAAATAGATAAAAGGAGAGAAAAAACAGAAGAGATATACCAGTAATGCAATCATAATTTGCATGCAAAACCCTGGGCTTTGCAGCATGCTCAAGATTGTATTCCTACAGCATCTTGATGTGGCAGGCACCATCCTCTGAATTTTAATAGAGCTCAGGCACCAACAATTCAAAACATTCAGCATCATCAAAACAAAATTAGCTCTAGTTGTAGTGCAGTGTTGCAACTCAATATTCTCTCCCTACATGCATTACAGTGTAGGCTTTGCACTTAGGCAGATAAAAGCAGATGCTAGAAAATCTCTTTCCACTGTTAGGGTGTTCAGACACTGGAATAGTTTGTCCAGGGAGGTGGTGGAGTCACGATCCCTGGAAGTGTTTAACAGGTGTCTGGACCTGGAAGATAAGGATTTAGGAGTTACAGCAGAGTGACAGGTTAATGGTTGGACCTAATGATCTTAGAGGTCTCTTCCAGCCTTGACTGTATGCTAAGCAAGATACTGGAAAGGTTGTCAGCACCATGACTTTGAATTACTAAAATTCTGTCAAAGTTTATCAATGGGATTTTATTCAATTAATAAGAATTAGACTTCAGTCTAATCCAAAGTGCATAAACAAATTTAAACATCCCACCTAAACTTCTTCCACCAAAAAACACCTATCTCAGTCCACTTCAGCAAACTAAGACACACACATTTAGTCAGTCAAATTCCCCTTTATTTCACAGCTGTTAATTGCTAACAAAGCTAAACAAATCTGCAGTTCAGTCTGAGTCACTGAAACTTGTTCCAAAGACCTGGAGGAACAGACTTGACACATTTTTTTTTGCCACTTCAACCCTTATTATTTCCTCTGCTTTGAAATATACCAGTGAAAACACATATTCACATTTTAGCTTGTTTTACATCGTTTTAACAATTTTTAAGCTATACATCCTCAGCATGAAAACCAATAAATATGTTAGTCAGAAAACAGACTAGAAAATTTCATTAATCCAGAAATATCATTCATGAGAAACTCTCTTTCATACGTAGATGATTCTTGTCAGTGACACACTTAGCAAACTTTCTGATTACCACATTTTCACAAACTACACAGCATTCTTGGATTCAGTCCCAACTGAAAGAGAAGTAATTCACTTCTTTTATGAAAAAATGCCAGTTTTAAACATACATAGCTGAAAATGGAAAGCAGCCTTAGGAATTAAATAGTTGGGTTTTTTTAATGCAGCTGAATTGAGACATACCAGAAGCAAATTTAAGTTCAGTGCTGAAAACCATTTTAAAGCATCCTAGCAATTACACAGGAAGCTGGATGTAGTGACTATGAAGCTTTCAATCCAACCATATCTTTGGAAAAGTCAGATTTAATATCACATTAGCTCACAATTTTTAATGTATTTGGTAACTCTGCTGGAACACAGATCCTGCTTATTGCTTTGAAACATACAACATTATCATTGAAACCTAGATGCTTATCTAGAGTTCTTAGTAGCCAAAATTAAAAAGATCAAAGAGAGGACAGTAGGAACAAAGGCACATGGTTAATTTATAAAAGTATTTACAGGGTCCTTGCACATTTATTTCTATCTACTAGAAATTCATTCATCTTGAATACAAAAGAAAAAAAGACTACAGAAACACGTTAAAGGAGATCATCCTAAACAGATGCTCTCGAGCGATATGAGCAGAGAAACTTATACACCATTAAATTATGTCTGGAATTAAATTTCTCCTTTTGAATATGGAATTTTCAAATATTAAAATTCATAAATTCATTATTCCTCTAGGCAATGTGATACTTTAGTGCAACCCTCTTCAAAGCCTGAAGCTGGCACAGTTAAGGCAGTCTACTAACAGTATTTAAAATTCAGCACACAGTGTTTAACCATGGAGGTGCCTGGTGGGTCTCGATGTGGAGAGTTCTTTTGAAACCTTCATCCATACCATCATCTTTCTAACGATGCAGCTTCAAACACAGCATGTTTAAACACTACAGTTCTCCCAGCGCTGGGGGGTTCTTTGGAGGTGCTAAGGGAGGAGTCTAACATCTGTTAGCTCCAGAAGCAACTCTGCAGGATGGGTAATATCCAGAGTTACACACAGTTACTGGCTACGTGTGTAGCTTTACTGCATGCAGTGTGAACCTTAACGGGCTGCCAACAAGATGCTTCTACAACTACTCCCATTACATTCAGACCTCTAAGCACACTATAAATCCTGGTCCTGTAATCTGCACTCCACAGATACTCTTTTGACACAGTCTCTCGCCAAAACCAAACTAATTTTCCTAGAGTAGGTTTTGTTTTTCTCATGGAAATTCATTGATGCACACATTCAAAAAGAACTCCAAACCCTGTCTGAACAAGTCAACCAAACCTTAAGAGGACTTCACATTCTGATTTTTCTCCCTAGCCATTTTGAAAATATTATTTGTGACTATGGCAAACAAATTTACTCTAATTGTATGGAAATGGTTTCCATTAAACTTTTAATAAGTCTATGCAACAAAGGTGATTAGAGCTGTCTGTCTCCAGCTGATAGGTTGGGGCACCAGGACATGTTAGAAAATTCCACAGGAGGAAAAAAAAAAATAACTGCATAGTATGTGATCCCTTTTATTCACCAAAGCTGCCCATGTATAGCCCAGGTGGAAGACAGCAGAACAGCTGCTCAGCCTTCAGATGCAGGTGTGTTTAGTGCTTGCTGTAACATCTTTCCATCTTCCTCGTTGCCACATCTCTTCAAAGGATAATTACAGAAGTGAGAAGGGAAAAGATTAAGAGAAAATACAAGAGTATTTTCAGACAGATCAATATTTCTCCAATTTTTCATCTGAAATATTACAGTAAATTTATTTATGATGAAAGTCATCAGAAGACCATTCTCCTGGATTTAAAATATTTTGGTATTTTTCTTTGGAAGAAAAAAATTTTACAAAAAGTATAAAGAAAAATCAATGCACATCACTGAAACCACAGATGCTGTGGCTTTCCTGCCTGCCCCTCTGTCCTTACATATGTCCATACTGATGACAGTTCAAGTAAGTCTAATCACTATCTGAATTAACAGGGTTGTAGTCAGGGTCATCCTCTTCATCTTCCAACTCTAAATCATCCATTTCTTGGAATAAAGATTCATCAACCTCCACACTGTTTCCAGCTGTAAAGAACAGAAAAATAATTTATTTTCATGCAAGTAGGAAAACAGTAACTGAACAACAAAATGCACAAGACCTTTTTATTAGTTCTTCAATGTAGGTAGCTGCTAACTTACTTGGCTTTTATTTATGAAAGACATATGGAACAGAAAATGCCATGTTATCTTTAGCTGGCTAAAGTGAAGCTTTGTTTCTTCATATCAAAACCCAGTCAAGAGAAATGTCACACAGGACCTCAGAAATCACTAGGTGAATGAAATTAACAATTACAGTTGCCAGAAGCAGAGATCCCTTCTCCCCAGCACTGTCAAAGCAAGAGCTCAGGGCCTCACAGCTGGAATAGTTACAACTATCATAGTCACAAACACACAAGGCTGATAAAAAATTCCTTACACACCATATATGTGCCTACATACATACATTTGCTTTCAGATTTAAATTTTACAAGCAAGATGAAGCTTTGCATGCTCTCACATGTTCTGAAAGAGATGCTGCCGACTTAAGGATAAAACTTGAGGGCTCCTGCTATATTATTTCTATGTACCAAGAGTGACATCTTCTGGCCACTGAACTAGGTTCTAATCTTGCACTGGACTTGAAAGCATCTTTATAACCATTTCCATGTACAGCTAACACTCTTATCCTCTGAAAATTAGCATTGTTACACGCTATTGAAATACTAAAATACAGTTAGAAACCTGATGCATTTATAACAGAATGCAAACAGCAATAAGAATAGAAGTTTGTAATCAGCAACAGCAGCAGGATTAAACATTGCTACACTAATCCCAAATCATTTGGGCACAGAGCCCAAGTTCCTCCCTTCACGCTGCCACATGTGCCATCAACAAACCTCTTCACTTTAGGCATTTTGAAGGAAGACAAAGTTAAATTATGCCCTCTAAAAGAAACTAAACTCCCTCATTGCTGCCATTTCTGGTTTATACTCACTGACATTCATAAATGTTTTTAAACTGTCACTTGCAGAGAAGATTCTTCAGTCTCTTCTGCCTGTGTTTTGCAATACCAGTAGATAATGCCGCTACACTGAAGTATTCTCTTAACTCAAAAATCAAGTATTTTAAACTAGGATACTAAAAGGCAATACAGCAAATTAAATAGGTATGTGACTGGGAGTATATTCATTTGCTTTATCTCTAACAGATATTTCAAGTTTAACATTTTTTGGCACAGGCTTACAAAATTTTCAGATGGCATCAGGTCAATATTTTTGATAACAGGAAAATCTGCACAAATCATGGAAAATAATTGGGTTGCAAACAGCATTTAATTAGACCTGCAAGATGTTTACTACTGGTGTTGAGATTCAGGGACAAAGAGACAGAACTTCAAGGCCTGTGCTTGAAATCAGGGGTAAGAAGGCTATTAGAAAAAAAAGAAAAAGCAGGATTTGGTTGGGAATTTTTGTTTTGGCTTTGCTTTACTTTTTTTTTTTTTGTTTTGCTTCCAGTCCAATCACTTCAATAGAAGCAACAGAAATATGATCAACTCAAGCTCAAAGATGCAAACAAATATGCTTTAGCATCTTGAGAAGGTTTTCTTTGTTTCGGAAAGAAGCTAAGATCACTTCTGCTCACTTTGTAAAACAGTACTTCTCAGAAAGTTCTTCCACTGTAAAAGTGACACTGAGATAAGATGTTGTCAGAATTCAGCTGTGTAAACAAAGGGAAATTTACCTTCCTCCAAGAATTGGATGTCAGAGGTGTCAAGATTGTGATCCATTTCAAACAGCTGTTTACCTAGAAATAAAATATATAAGTAAGTAGAATTCTGAAACAACTATCAAAAATATTCAGTTAATAAATTAACCAATTCTAGCAGTCTCTTTTTCTTTAAGCTGCTCATTTCTACAAGTTCTCCATTCTGGTTTCTCAACTCTTCATCTAGGATTCATCCACACCAACAGGCTTCCTCTTACACATCACTGTCTCTTATAGTCATTTCAATGTTACTAAGACTTTAATACCGGGTGGTGTGAGAATTTGAACCGTACTGCCCCCCAGCCTGTGTTCAGTCCTTATTGCTTTAGTCTCATTTTGCATTCCACAAGAAATCCTCTGCAGGAACTGGAAAGGAAATTAGCTGACTCCTCTATCTTTTTCCATACATCCTCCCATTCAAAAAGCAACTTGGATCTACACACAAATCACCAGCTCCTACACACAGACATCTGTGAAGAAAACATCACAAAAGGCAAAGTGAAGCCTTTCTGATTGGGAGGGACAGGAAGAGAAGCTCAGGACTCTTTCCACATAAATCACCCATCTTCCATCTACATTTGCATTGCTTATGCAAGCTTCCACAAACAAGGCTGCATGGCGTCCCTGGTAAAACATTTAAGATACCTTTTAGATCTTACTGGGGTTACACTAATGGCATCCAAAAATAAGCCTGGCTTTGGTTTTGTAAAGGGGAGCTTCTATAAACTAGATTTGCATAGAGAAACACACAACATACTAACAATACTTTTAAAAACAGAAAACCTAGAAGCAGCCTGATTTCTGTCATCTTATCTCTGCAGATTTCCAAATGCATTTCCTTCAGAGAGCGATCAAACATGTCTCCTGTCATCTACAGATTTTTATGGAACTTACTACCATTAAAATTTCCATCTCTGTCAAATTTCATCAAAGCTAGCCAGAAGTGAGGAGAAAACAAAATGGTCATACCATTACCACATCGGTCATGTTTTATTGGGTAATCAGGTTAAAGAGCAGATCTAATACCATAGGAGAACCAGCTCAAAGCTAAGCCATGCAGACTGGGAGGAGGATGCTCAAGATCTAATTCTTACTTACAGGTTCTCACAAGAAAAGTCATATCCTACACAATTTGCTCCCTGGATACAGAGTAAACAAACTGTGATCTGCAAAACACAGTGCCTGAAACCACTGCTATGACAAGCTCTTCCCCAAAATATCAGAGCCATTCTCACCAGTCATCCTAAGCTTGCAGCAGCCAACCTCTGCTGCTTCAGTCCAGCAACAGCATCCCAAACTCCTACATGTGCTTGAATAACGTGAAGTCACTGTATGATCCAGTGTGGTAAAGACCAAGCAATACATTGTTGATGCAGATTCTTCCTGTTGCTTAACAAACCCCAACTACTTAGGCCAGAATAATACTTGACAGTAGCAGCTCCAAGTGGTACACTAGCTTAAACACACAGTTTGGGAATCTTAATGACTTCATCAGAAATCCTGAGTCAATTAGCTTTCTATTTAGCTCAAAATCAGCACTCAGAAAGACTTCATGTAACATGGAGGGCAATAATCAAATATTGCATTATCTTTCAGTGCAAAATTTACTTTTAGACTTGCCATTATAGTCTGGTAACACTGTAGAAACTTCACAAACAGTATTAAAACATACCACTTAATTTGTTTTTGCCTGCTTGTTCTTCTTCTTTCATCTTTTTCCTTTTTATTTCTAGGAGTTCTGCATCAAACTTGGCTTTCCAATTTAGGAAATTCTCAATGGTAACAGGAGTGCCATGAAAACGTTGCTGAAAGAACAGAAAACAAGGCTGCAAACACAACTTGCAAAGATACGAGTGAAAATGAGCATTCTCTTAACTATTTAAATTACAACATTCCAGAAGCACTGCTTGCTGTGAGATATTCTGAGAAACCATTCTACAGTGGTTGGTAGAAAGGACACCTAGAAGGAAGACAAACCACTCTTGAAGACTGGTCCCACTGCTTCCATCCTATCCACTCAGCTTACCAAGGAAAAGAGACTTCCTCAGACCATGCAGCCTGTGTGCAGCATGACATATCCTAGTCTTTTTTGCTCCCCATCCCCTCTTGCCTCTTCAAGCAAAAAAATGTCCACAGCAACTTTGATTTCATTTGGGAAAAAGCCCTGTCCCTGCCTTAGGAAGTAAGGCTAGGAAGGATTATGAACATGCAGGAAGTCTCTAAAGAGAATGCTTTAGAAAACAGTTAAAAAAGTCACCTAAGTACACTCAGCAATCTTCTAGTCCTTAAGTTTCAATTATATTATCTTTGGGATAGCTGTTCCTCTCCCACTATAACCAAGAACTGCTCCTGCATCAAACCTCTGCATGTTAAAAAAGTGGGAAGTTTTTTTAGTTGAAAACATTATTTTACATACTTTCTCTTCTTCTTCTGCTTCTTTTTCTTTCTGTTTTTTCTCCTCTTCTCTTCGTGTTTTTATTTGATCCACTATTTCATTTAATTTCTCCTGTACTGCTGAGACTAGAGTGAAGATCATTACCATTCCTAAATTTTCTTCTGCCTACAACACAAACAAGGCAAATTCAAACCTTCAGCAGCTGAATGCATAAGGATGCTTAGGAACAGGATGCAGATAACACAGGCAACACATTCTGCACCAGCCTCAAAAACTCACTCTAAAACTCACATCAGTTAGCCACTTAATCCAGCGAGTTATCCCCAGATGAGTGTGCAGCAAAACACAAAGATGAACACCTGTGCTCAGGTTATCCACAGACTATAGACACCTGGAAGGCTTTTGCACGAATGAAACAAACCTACAATAGAAATTCAACTCCAAATTTTGAATATCATAAATCATAAGAGACAAGAGTCACTCAGAACTTCTTCTCTCCTGAAATGGCTTATTCCTTAATCACATTACAGGCTCCTTTGAAGTGAGACGGTTTCCCAGGAAAATAAAAAAAACCCACAATTTGATGGAAGGTTATATGAAGTAAACCAAGATAAAAGCATGCCTATTGAACATATTATGGAAATTTTAAGGCATGCAGGACTTGTCAGGAATTCCTGAAACCAAAGAATAATTTCCTTCTCATTCCTGCACAATGCACTCTTACCAATTCCAAAGGTTGAAGAGATCTACCCCCCAAACAGTTATGCTATGAAGAAGAATCAAGAATGTGGCATATTTTTATTATTTCCAAAGAAAACTGAAGTGGTTTAGTCCCACAAATACTACAGATACAGTTAAACAAATTTACCTCAATCTAGAACTTCCCAGGAGGGGAAGCCCTCGTGCACTTCCATTTCATTAGTGCACTTATTGCATACACTGAATTAGCCCTGTCTTTTACCTCACTACTATAGTTTACCTCAATAACATCATTTTCTAAACTCAAACCTCAAAGTCAGTCCCTACAGTATGGAACAGGTTTCAGATCAGTAGCACACACACCTCAGAAAACAACTCAGTCAAGCAAGAAATTCTGGCTAAAGAGTGAAAGGACATCAGGTTGAATTGCAATATTCCCTTTTCCTTACCTGCTGCTCTAGCAGCTTCATTATGTCCGTGACATCATTATCGTCAAGATTCTCCTGTGAGACAACTTCATAAAGTGGAGTTTCGTCAGGGTACTTTTCTCTATAGGTAAATTTAAGGGTTGTTTGGACAGCTGCAAGATGAAAACCACATATTCTTATAGTGATAACTCTATACAAAATTTAATTGTATATTTTCCTATTGCATCAACAGCGTAAAGACTTAAAAAATCTCCCAGTTCTGGCAGCCCAGGAGTCTCTTCAACACAGACAGCTGCTCCAAGCTGGACTTGTTCCTTTAAAACTCAGCAAGACAGCATCAGTTTATTCCTTCTGTTACAGTAACTCAGAACAGCAGCTTTCACACTTGCTTGGAGCAAGGATTGCTTACAGCAAGCCCATGCAATTGCTGACACCCAACAAATACACAGGAACTTGGGACCCCCGGCCCTCTGGTCTGGAACTGTTCCTCAAGGGCTGCATGTTCCCAGCACGCAGACTCAACTCTCCCACGTGGCTGGCATACACACAGCTAGTAGAAAATAATTCCCTCACGATGTGGCTGTAAGCTGCTACAAGGATGATGACAACTCACACTTTTTGAGGCTACACTACAAAGCCTTTGAGATTCAGCAGAAGGCAGTCCTAGTGAGAGAGCACAACATTCCTGCAAACTAAACATGGATCACCAAAATCCTTGAACTACATTTTCTGAGGAATGCTTGCTGGATCAGGCCTCTAAGAGGACTTAAGCAGAGGTATACATAGTTGTTGGTGATAGAATTAGGCTTACACAGAAATTCCTCCTATATATAAGACACCACCAACTTACTTTCATCATTTTCTCCAGCTTCAGATGTCACAGTGATTGTGAAAGTCGTTGGCTTTTCTGACAACACTGTTCAAAGGGAAAAAACAACAGTCAGAGAGAAATTCCTTAAATCAGACAACTACATCTTCACATCACTAGAAATTCTCAAGGACTAATGAAGAAAGGAAGCTCTTGATGCAGTAAGGGCCTTTTTACCTTATTAATAAATGCTTTTCAATTAACAGCTGTTTTCCATATGATGTGATGTCTGAAGTGCTCTTTGAATGAGTGCATAATACATCGATAATACCCAAGAGTTCATCTTTTGGAAAGTTTTCTGGAAGTTTCACTTTTCAGAAAGTGCAAATCTACCTACCATCAAACGACTTCTGTTCGTGCACTCAACATGTGCAGAAAGCTCCCAATGCTAATTTGCTTTACTGCACTAGACATGTGGTGATGAGCATCCAGTGCACTCTTGACCCTGGACTATTTTTACAGCATGTCTGCACCTATATTTAGGGCAGTTCAATGCAAGAAATGCTTCTGAAAACAAAGAAGAGGACTACATAGGGCTTTCCTTCAAGAATGTAGTGCCCAAGAAATGTAACAGAATGTAACTGTGTGTATTAGGCAGGTAGGAGACAGACAAGAGGCTGCTCCTATGGAGACACACAAAATACAAGTGCTATGATCTGTGTTTCACAGACAAAAAGCCTCATTGCACAGTCATGGGCTGCAGACCATGTATTCATATCAGGACTCTTCTGTATCACTCCTATAAGCTGCGCCCCAAAATTAGTGCACATGCTCTCACAACATGAATCTATTTTTGCCTAATTGCTAATATACTACTACTATCTTTATTCCCTTGTCTTCTCTTGGGCATAAAAGCATCACATGGACAATAACTGAGTAGAGGCTATATGAAAGTATATCACTTCCATATCAGTATCAGTGATTCAACATCCACAGCCAGCAGAGATCAATTTGTGTATCTTTAACTGATCTTTAACATAAAAGTGAACAACTGAAGAGACTTTCAGATTGAAGCAATGGGAAAATGTACCAGGCAAATGTCTATGTGATGAAGTTACTGCCAAGTAAGACTGTAGGACTCTGGGCAGAGTACACACTGTGCAGGAAAGAAACAGAAAATGCCCTGGTTTTCCCACCGTTAAAATTCTTCGTATACTGAGGGCTATGAATTATGCTGGGCTAAGTAGCATGGCAGATACTCTTAATTGTTTGATGGTAACTTTAAAGTCCTGAGAAACTGATGAACCAACACATCCATCATAGGAAAGTTTCAGCAATAGAACAGGGAATTAGAGCTCGCCTTTGTTCCACCACAGACCCGCAAGGGAATGAGGCAGATACCGGCAACACATTTACAGAGGACACAGCACCTCTAAGCACCCCGACCCGTCCCGCGCTCCACGGGCGCGACAAGCTGTCACGCCAAAGGAAACCCCTCGGGCACACCGGCCAGTGCCGCAGCTCCCAGGCAGGGCCGCACCTTTCGCGAGGTTC